GGCGAACCGCGCCTTTCTGCCGCGGCCCGGGCCAAAGGCTCTGTCAACAACAAAACAGAAATCGTCTGGCCCATTCACAGGACCAAAAGTCAAACAGACTGGCAAGAACTTTCCTGACCGAGCCACGATGGCCAAAACTTCCATGGCCCTCCTCGTGTTCTGGATCTGGTTGAACCCTGTGACGCGCCAACACGTCTGTAGCCTTCCGGCAGTAATAGGTGCTTCGAAGCACCCTGGCGTTGACTCGTCTGTAGTCAACCACAAGACGCCTTTTCCTATGCTTCTTGTGCGCCGGCGCCTCCTTGGTGGGAAACGGCGGGCTGCCCCAAGCTGAGGAACCCCGAACGAGCTGCCCTCGAGCCACTTCTTCCTCGAGGCGCTCATCCACCCACGCCGCGCTCTCTCCTTTGAGGGAATGCGGTTGGAGGCTGACTGGTGGGCCCGTCGGCACACAGTCATGCGCCACATTCCGCACGGTGGTGCGGGGACTCCCTTCCAACATCCCTACCGTGTTGTGAGGGGGGGCCTCCGGGAAATGTAAGTTACATTTTTCCATAGAAACCACCTCAAAAATGTAAGATTTCATTTTGCCAGAACATGAAGCTACAATTTTAAAAAATGTAACTTACATTTAGGCCCCCCATCATTTCCCTGGGAAAGCACAAATGTAACTTACATTTTCTGCCCAAATGTGACTTACATATTGGCAAAAATGTAACTTACATTTTCTAGAGGTTTCTGCATCTAGTATTATCTAGTGACTTGAAAATCAACATGGCCCAGGCTCAGAATACGTGGGTGGAACACACGTGGGAGACAACAAGACTGAGCCACATTTTTCCCGGCAGAGCATTGGTGCAAAAGCTGAAGAAATACCTAGGGGGGGAAGTTACCTTTCCCCCCCTCTCTCCACAAGACAAGAGCGCACACGATATTCTAACATATTCTAACCAGGAAATTCCTGGGGAACACTAAGAGCAAGACGTAGTTAAGTACCTAGGGGGGGGAAGTTACATTTAGATATTTAATGGCTTGGGGACCTCCAAAACGTAACTTACATTAATTTCGCCCCCCCCTCCCCACCCAAAAATTAAGTTACATTTCCTGGAGGTCCCCCCACCGTTTATAGCCACAACGGGGTAGGGATCTTCCAACCAGAAACCAGCGGCCTTTCTGCCTAAGACCTCCTTACACGCGGCGAGATCATCCGAGCTCATGCCCGGCCGCCGTTCAGCGGCATCATCGCCAAAACCCAGGCCTTCGAGCACAGCTTGGCGATACGTCTCCTTTCGGCACGGGTCTTCCAAGACCGTTTCGCCACTGAGCCGATAGACTTCCAAGTCGGCTTTCACTTCGTCCCATTCGGAACGGTCAGCGCGACCCTTCCAAAGCGAATCCATTTTGGGCGCAAGTTCTTCAAGCTCTTTATCGAGCGCTTCCCTTTCAGCCGGCGTGAGCTCCCGACTCACGTCTACATCGGCAACGGGCAAGGGAACTTCCTTTTCTTCTACGGCGATCTGGTCGCGAAGACGCGGACCAGACCCGGCCGCGCCCTCCGTCGACACAAGCACCAGCGGAGCGTCGCGATCGCTTTCCCTTCTTGGATGAGCGCTGCGCTTGTATTTAGTTACAGCAGAAAGCGAACTTGCTAAGTTACTTGCAAGCCATCCACGTAGACTTGCAAGCCTGCTAACATAATGTTGGCAAACTTGCATGTTGCGCAAGATGCACAGTTAACTTTGGCGAACTTGTAAGTTTAGCGCGGTCACTTACTTTGTGACTATTCCCTACTTGAGGCTAGCTCAGATACTTTAAGTATCATCAAGTTCTACTTGTAGTGCAATAACATATAGTTGTAGTCCGATAAGTAGCTTAAGTAGGACTTTTTAACTTATAAGTAGGATAAGTGTCAGGGTTCTACTTATTGAACTTATAAGTAACTTAGCTAGTTAAGCTACTTATTTTATAACATTTTTGGATACTTATTTCTACTTATTTTGCACTTATTTTTACTTATTTTGCACTTATTTTTACTTAGTTTTTACTTATTTTTACTTATTTCTACTTATTTTCTACTTATTTCTACTTATCTTCATCCCTTGTTTTTGTATTTTTAATGTTAGGTTTCAGATTCTTTGACGTTCATACTATCTCTTTCTCTAGTCCCTCCATTGTCCTTTCTGTCTTGTTTATGTCTTCGCATAATTAAGTGTGTGTGTGCTTCATGTGCTTATGTTCAGTCAATGCTTCCATGGCATTGGATCATGTTGGAGCGGCCCACTGGACGCTTTGTTGTTGTTTTGCTTTTTGCTGCTAGACTTGCGCACGTGCACAGGGAAGCGAAGTCAGAACTCACTGGCGCAATTTTGGTTTAAGTTTTGTTTGTGTTCTTCTTGATAGTGGTCAGCCATCATGTCAGAGCAGCGAATTTTTTTTCAGCTGTGCAGCGTTTTTTGGTCACCATGGCCAACCATGCGAACTTCCTGACTATGCGAGATGAGCAATACGAAAACTGCAGGTTGAAGATCCAGCAGTGGCCAAGTATGCCCATGGAGACAATTACGGAAGTCGTGGGCCTTGTGGCAGATCTTCCCGTCACACCTGATCAGCTAAGCCAGCTGCAGCTAGATGTGAGTCAAAAGATGCAGGCGGTGCAGCCGTTGTCCCAATCTGCAGCCAAAGGTGGGAGGAGACCGCAGCAGAACTACCAGCACTTTTGTAGCTACCTGACCAATTCGCTGTGGCTTCTTGTGTTGGGCGACAATCCGCTTGTGAACGCCCTGGTACCCATTGCTCGTCATTTGGGGAAGTTGGGTTTACGCTTACCCTCTGAGAAAACTTGCAGTAAGGTCACTGCATTGCTGCTGTATCGAGTTGCTGACAGGATGGACCAGCATGCGCTGCACCGTGTCTTTGAACATGTGAAGGGCATTATCAAGAGAGAGTTGGCTGCATTTTCTCTCTCAGTGCAGCCCTTCATCGTGGAGCTGAGCCATGACCCCTCGGAGCTTCATCGACCTTTCTTCGATGAGGCCTTCAAAGATGAACCAGTGACGCAAATCCAAGTGGATGTGGCCAGGCTCACTCACATCCATTCAAACATCCGTGAAAGAATGCCACCCTCCAGCTTGGTGCCGATGATCGATTACAGCCATGGGGCCGGGGGAAGTGGTATGAGCCAGGAGTTGCAACAAATGTTGGCACGCCTTCAGGATGTACGACAGCCTGCCCTGCCCAACCTTCAGATCAACATGGATGCTCTTCAGCGACGTGGCTCTTTTCGAGCGCCACCAGGCCAATCTGTGCAGCCACCACCTGGCCAGCTTGCTCTGATGAATGAGCCCGCCAATGCCTATGAGCCAGATGTTTGGGCCACCCCGGCTGCAGCTCCTCACCGGGCTGCAGCCCCAACACAGGAAAATGGGCCAACTCAGTGCGCAGTGCCAACATTGCAAAACCCTGACTTGCAAACCCATGCTCCTCAGCCAACCCAGCTTGCAATGCAAACCCAGGGCGCATTGCAACCCCAGGCTCCCCAGCAAACCCAGCTTGCAATGCAAACCCAGGGCGCATTGCAACCCCAGGCCCCTCAGCCAACCCAGCTTGCAGCGCAAACCCAGGGTGCATTGCAAACCCAAGCTCCTGAAACCCCGGCTGCGTTGCAAACCAAGGCTCCTCAAACTCAGGTTGCATTGCCAACCCTGGCTCCTGATGAACCGCCATCAGGGCCCAAGCAGAACCAGGAGAAGAAAGTGGGTAGCAAGGACAGGTCGAAGATGCGGACTCCTAGAAACATCAAACAAGAACATGAAGATGTGTTTGATCTTATCTTCGAATCTATTCATGTTATGAGATTTCATTTTCCAGGTATAATTAACGTATATAAATATCTAGTGTTTGTGTGATGTACAAACATATGTGTTTCTTTAGATGTGTGGTTCCTTGACCAATCGCCCAATCTTGTTTTTTTTCATTTATCCATTTTGGTTTGAAAAGTGCAGCTGGGGCGGTTGTGATCTGTGCAATTCATGCGTTGCAGGATCCGAACGCGTTTGATTATGTCATGCAGAATCTGCGGGAGAAGATGGAGGGGAAGCAAGCTCCAATCCTGAAACGGCCAGCTGCGGGTGGGTCTGCTTTGAAACGTCCGGCAGCAGCCAGTGAATCCAAGTTGGTGAAACCATCGACAGCCAGTAGTTCCAAGTCGGTGAAATCATCGACAGCTGTGATGAAAGTGTCCAAGGCCAAGAAGGGTGCCAAGGGAAGCAAGCCACCGAATGCATTGAAAATGTATCCGAGAGGCTGTCCAAAATGTAGATGGAAAGCAGGGTGCACACCCTCTTGTTTTCGATACCGTGGCGAATGGCCATGAAGTGTCACTTGTTGCTGCCAGTCGCGGGGTGCGCAGGCAAAAAAGAAGCGGCCTTCGGGACGCTCTGCCGCATGCGATCAGATGGCTGTTGCAGTTAGCTTTGCTTGTGTTACCATTTTTGTTAACGGCTCATTGGGAAAAGAAGCAGTTACAAATGTAGTTGATCTTGTTTGCGGCGCAAGGTCATGGGAACAAACAATGTACACAGTAGCAACAGTAGCAATATGGTTTGTTTACAAAAACACTTCTATAATATATATATATATTGGATCCAAGGCTTGTTTATTGCAAATATGTTAATATGTTCGTCAAAGAAGGAGTGCTTTCACGTGTGCCATGTCGAAGCGCAAAAACGAGAGCGCAAGCAGTAGGCTAACAGAATCACAAGCCCTGCGGTTGGCTGCTTTGCCTAACTGCTCTGTGGCGCAGGCAGCAGAAGTTGCGCATACGTTAGGCTACACCTCTGAACTCTCTGAGAAAAAGAAAAATGTGAAACAAGTGCAGAACGCTGCTGCAAGCGCTGCTAAGAAATATCGGTCACAGTATTTAGAATGTATTTCTTGTGATGAGCAAATGGTGTGGCTGACAAAGTTGCAACCCCTACTGCAAAATTATTGCCATCGCTCGCCTGCTTTTGCCAAGACGATGTTGGAGGCGATGCAGAGCACAACCAGCCCTTTGCAGGTGGTTCTCTATTGTGACGAAACCGTGAGTGGAAATCCTTTGAACCCAATTGGGGCTAAGATGCTTGGACTATAGCTCTGTTTTGTTTTTTTGTGGGACAAGGTGGTCAAGGGAAATTTAATCTAAGGCGATCGGCATTGCTTATCACCAATGTTTCGTTTTGAACAAGAACTGTTCAGTACCAGGAAGAGTCACATGATCTATCTGTCCGCTTTGGAGTTCAAGACGAAGTTATCAATGGAAACTTTTTGGCTGGTTGCGGGTGTCATCACACATCAAAAAGCCGATTCAATAGAGGGAGGCACGAGTGCAATCTTTGCTTCGATACTGAACCACTGGGTGAAATCGAGCAACGGAATCTTGAACAAAGCAGGTTTTTCTTTGGAAATTGATGGCCTTCAGTATCTTGCGCGATTCAGCTTGCATGCCTTTGTATCAGACGAGGCTGCATTACGTGCTTTGCTAGCATGGAAGGGAGCTGCAGGCATGAAGCCTTGCGCCAGATGTTACAACGTAATTTATAAGTATCATGGGGGAACCTGGGATATTCAAGAGAATGATCACATCATTGACATCACTTGCGCGGAGTACCAGAACTTCTTGCAATTCACCGACCAGCAAATCTTTGATATACAGTCAGAGCTTCAGGAAACTTATGCGTCTGCCAGTGCTTCGGAACTGAAACAAAAGAACAAATGTTTGGTTTTGTGCATTGCCCCACAGGGCTGCTTGCTGACCCACTGGTGCGTATTGCGCTTCCACCGAGCAAATGCTACTATGATTTTTTGCACACTCTGTTCAGCAACGGCATTGTTTGTGATGAAATTTGTTTGTTTTGGAAAAGCGTGTGCGCAGAGACAAACCTGACCATAGAAGATTTATACACTTTGTGCAACGAAGGTGGCTTCTTCTTGAAACAAAGCATTGGGGAATACAAACTGAAGAATGTGTTCGATGCAAAGTACTTGGAAAAATCAACATATGGTGGTGATGCTGGCTACACAGTGTTGGCGTTATTCTTGCTTGAAATTTTCGCTTGCAACCTGTTGAGTTCAGTGGCGTCGTTGCAGCAGCACATTGCGTCCTTCACCAAACTTTGCTGGGTGTGCAGATGGTATTTTCGATTCAAAGCTGGCAAATGCAGAGGTGCCATTGCGCCCAGTGAACGGATGATTCCATTGCTATCAGAGCATTTGGCCTTGTTTCAATCTGTGTATGGTCGCCCCATGGTTCGCCCAAAACACCACTACAATTTTCATTGCGCCGAATCCATGGATATCCAGGAAGCAGTCCTTGACTGCTGGACCATGGAAAGAAAGCATCGTACGTACAAAAACACTGGGCGCAACTTCCCTTTGAGTGAACATTTTGAGTCTTCTATGTTGGGAAAATTATTGATGGTTCAAGAGGAGCAACTCTGCGAAATGGATCAGGATCCATCGTTTAAGCCTTTAGGTCGTGATCAGGAATTGGCAAATCAAATTGGTTGTCAGACGGCATGGGTCAGCAAGTCGATGCGTTTCAATTCCCAAACATTTTACAAGGACGACGTGTGCCTATTCACACATGATGAACACCAAGCGGGCAAGGTCATCAGTTGTGTGTGCGCGGAATGGTCGGGTTCTTCTCAGCATTATTATCTTTTAGTCGAGGTTCTGGTTCGGTGCGATTCTGTTTCTACAGACAGGGACCCTTGGCATCTGAGTCAATGGCAACCCTGCGGGTCGAAGACTCTTGTAAATTTAGCCACACATGCTCGACAGCTTCTGTGGCCCTTTTTCTGGTGGTCAAAGTCCCACAAACTTTTTGTTAGTGTTTGACACGCGCCGAGAGAGGAAACATTTGCCTTTGGGAGTATTGTTTGAGAAAAAGGTTCAATTCAACACATTAGGTGTATTTGAGTCAATTCAAGTGATGATGTTGGTTTTATGCTTGGGTGACATTGGTAAAAAAACAAAACATTTTATCCAGGTTGCAAGAACGTGAATGTGTTGGTCACAACACAGTCGTTTGAGTCCACCACTGGTTCAAGTCTCGGTGCACTTGCTGTGGATTCGGCGTTTCCATGGCATACCCAATGATGCAGCTACTTTTTGTTGATGATCGAGTTGGTGATGAAGAATGTGAACTCATGAGGGAAGCTGGCCGTTCTCTGTTAGAGACCCTTGACCCTGCAAACCTCCACTTACAAACCTGGAAAGATTTCATCGTCAGCTGTGCAATCGCGTCAATGGCTCAGAAGTGCAATGCCCAGCTCTCCGATTTCCAGGACGTGACATTTGGCAGCTTGGTTCCCTACCTTGGCTCTACTTCATTAGCTCGACTTCATGCGCACCCTCGAGCTAGACTCCTTCGCGTTGAGTTGCCGCAGGTTGCTGCAAAACTGCGCTGTTTCTTGCTTTGGAAAGAGTATGAAGACATGCGCCCTGAGGTAGAACAGTTGCTTAGTGATCTAGACACTGCAATGAATGCTTTGTAATGAATGATACGTTGGAGACAATTTATATATTCAATCATCTAACTTATACAAGAATGATAATTGATATGCTGTTTGAGAGTATCAGTTGCAGAGTCATACCAGCCGTGCTGCATCCAGATGATCTATCAGCCGTGGACAAAAAGAAAACAAAACCAGCGGCCTTCGGGGCGCTCAGATGTTTCACTGCAACTGGCTTTGGTTTAGTTCACCAGCGGTTTTTCGTGCGCCGATGATTATTTTCATGTAGGTCTGTGCATATACATATATAGAAATATGTAAAATCTAGGATTTATATATGTACAACGCAATTGAAATAGGATAGCAGAGTGTGTCCCTTGCAGTGTGATCAGGATGTATCAGGATGTATCGGGATGTATCAGGATGTATCGGGATGTATCGGGGTAGCTTTTTTCCTAGCGGGAATGATGCCGATACATTGTGATACATCCTGATACATCCCGATACATCCTGATACCAGGGTGTTTCATTTGTTTCTGTTCAGGCTGCAAGATCATCAACATCACCAAATTTTGATCGCAGATCTTTGGCTTTGAGGGAAGTTGAAAAAACACAAACTCTACAGTTTGGATAGGCATAGCCCGTGGCTTAGCATGGCTAGCATGGCGCCAGTTGTTCCAGATGAAACCGAGCAGTCCGATGAACACGTTCCCCTCGCCAAAGATGGTCACGTACCAGGCTCAATGACAGATGCTCAGCAGTCTGGACATGAGAAGACCGACTCTGAGACCAAAGAGCAAGCGACCAAAGAAGAATCCACAGAAGAAAAGACACATGAACTTGTGCCTGTGAATATGGAGGCTGCAGATGCTGCTGAGCTTGCTTTGGCTGAGTTCATGGCCAGCGAGAGTTTGGCAGGAGCAACTTTAGCTGTTTCTGCCTCTCCGGTGACTGCAGTGGCACCTGATCCGATCTGGAAGAGTGTTGATGAGGCCTTCAAAGCGCCAACTTGCAGAAAGTGCTTGATGCCTTGCACCCTTGAGAACCTGGTCAACAAGACGAAAGCCGAAGGCCGTGTCAATGTGGTTTGCAAGGGTTGCAATTCTGCAACCACAATGCTCAGCAGGCGCCTTGGGCAATGGCCTGTCCCAGCTTTCAACGGCTTGACCCAGGACCAACAAGTTGGTTTTTGGAAGCAGTGCCATAACATCATCCAAAGACAAGGAAGACTTGATTACGGATCAATCAGGGCATGCTTGAGTATCTCCCTTGCAGAGCGGCAATCTGAAATTGCCAAGGCAAAGTTCACGTCTGAATATTTGCCACTCTCTGTTTGGACTACCCGTGGCTTCAAAGAAGAAGATGTTCGCAAAGGATTGAAAGAGGATCATCCTCTTCTGGGAGAGACGTTTGCAGTTCCATTGAAGACTGTTTCAAAGGAACACATTCGAGAAAGAGTTGAAGAGATGATTACTAATTTTGAAGCACAAGTGAGCAAGAAAAAGGATGCAAAAGCTTCAGCTTCACTGCCTGCTCCTTCTGCCACGGCTACTCCTATGGATGATGCAGAGGACACAGATCTCCTCAACATTACTTGGTTGGATGCAAAGTCCCCTGGTAAAAAGCGACCACTTGAGGACGAGCCACAGGAGGAGGTTCCTATTCCTGATCCAAAGAGAGAGCGGCAGATGGCAAACGAACTGCGGCGCCACAATACCGCCGTTAGCAAGTTCGCCCAGAAAGGCCTGGATGCTTTGAACCCATTGATGGGCGCCCTGATGAAGCATCAGGCCAACTTGGCCGTGCTCCCTGCTTCGTTGGTGAGTGACTTGAATGATGTGCAATCTGCCCTGGGAGAATTGATTTGCCAGTGTCAAGATGGTTTGAAGACACCTGGTGTCGATGAACGTCTACCTGATCTTCCCTTTGATTCAAAGTCCTTGGCTACCAAGACCAAAGGCTTCAAGCAAGTGTTTTCCAACGTGGATCGGATGATGAAACTCATCAACAAATCCGCCCCAAAGAAGAAGTGAGTTGGACACAACATGATCCAACGGTGATTCGATCGTATCATAGATTTCTGCGTTTGTTCAAGATCTACAAAACCAATATAATTTTCCATGCTGTTCACATGAGGAAACTATATCCAGAGATGTTGTCTTGTTGTCTGTGTCTTTTTTGTTCGGGGACACGGTCAGCCAGCCTTTGGGGAAATTAGTCTTGTCTTGGCCCCTGTGGGCAGTCCAGAGGCCAATTGAAAAAAGAAGCGGCCTTCGGGACGCTCCGTTTCATTCAGTGTGGATGAGTTTGCAACGGCAGCTATGTGATAATCCATTTGCATTCCTTTGCATGGGTGATAGTATCTTTGGAAATCATTAACCTTATTATCCGAATATACCAAGAGAGGTCAAAAGGACAAACAAATCCAAATGCCGTTAAAGATCCTTAACGTCTTTTAGGTTGTTGTGTCCTTTTGACCTCTGTTGGTATATATATATACATATATACACAGAGGTTCAACATAAGCTCAACGTAAACTCAAACTAGCTCCAATA